GCCAGGATTGTCCATTAGATCTCAGACAAGATGTGAGTCAATATTTTCTTTCAGAGATTTATGTCTCAAAAGTGAGCCGGACTGAGGAAACAGGCTATGTTTTGATTAACTCCTGAAAGTTTTCTCCAAGGATACTTTCAAAAGAGTACCCATCATAAATTCATGAATTATATTACTGCATTCAAGAGCATCTTTCAGGGATTCTTGTATTTCTTTTAACGTTCCTTCTTCTTTTTCCAATATTTACTTCTGCCACTACATTTAGAAGTGGCAGCTGACCTCGGAATGATAAAAGAGCTCAGGTTGAGATTACTGAGTTCATTTAAATTTGTGGCTAGTTTGATTGCAAAATAAAAGTATGGGCTAAGGTTTTTCAAAAGTGATTAGTGACTCTGAATGGCTACCCTGAGATACCGGTAAAGCCTCTGATTTTCTCAAGGGGCCAAACCCCATTTCTCTGAAAATTAAGCCCTACTAGATGTTTTAAGTTGGACATCCAAATTACATCATTAAACCTTGCCCATAATTGCTTTAAAGTGCAATAGTATGGTTAAATAATATTCTTCAATGAAAACTTTAATATACTCAAATAGAATCCCAGTAAACTCAGTCTTTCACAATCAACTGTTGGCCCTTGTAAGGGCCTCAGAGGATGGATCAGTTTGAGAAGAAGCATTTCCATTTTAAAGTCAATTCAAACTAATTTGACTTTATGTTTTCATACTGGCTCACTTGAAAAGTGACATTACCTGTAATATAGCAATGAACTTGACAGAAATACAGTTCTTTTATTTATAATTTCTTTAATTGAGTTTTATGGATTTAGTCCTGATGGCCTGCGTGTTTCCTTTACAAATGCATGGAAACTTTGGGGTTTGGTGAATAGGAATCATGGTTTTGCTCAGAAGTTGGAAAAGACAGTAAAGGAAAGATGGCAAGTTAGGACACGCTGCAACTCAAACATACCATTGTTGTCTCCAAGAATTCCTAGAAATGAAAAAGGGATATTCTACACACACAAAAAGGAAACTAGGAGAGCTGGGTAGAAACATGGTGTTCAGAAACTTAAGCTTTCTGCAGTGTTTTTAAAGGTACACCAGAGTCCTTAGAATTCACAGAAGGAAATGCTACCTTTTACTACTGGATTACTACTCATACTACTGGTAGTAGAAGCAACTAGACCACAATGCTGTATTGCTGTGGACCAGTGGTTCCCAACCTTTTTTATACCACAGACCAACAAACTCATTCAAAAATCATTAGCAAACCATCCCAGAAATATTTGCATATGCATAATAGTAAATTTATTTGCATATCTGCATATTCATTGTGGTTATTTTAGCCCATGGTATTTCAGGTGAATCAAAGGAGGGGGGACATGATAGCTATCAAGAATTTGAAAAACTGATGCACACACACATTTAAAAAAAAATAGTTGCTAATACCTGTTAAAGAGTATTCTCCAGTCCAAATCTTTTGCCTCAATTGCACCAGAATTAAAGAGGCAGTACTAACAGTACTGACACATTCTGCACATTCGTATTTTCCTATGCACTTAATAATTCACGATAATAATGTGTACACCTGCTGGCTGGGAACAGCTAGAAGCCAGGGGGAGGCTCCTGCCGAGCAGGGATGGAGGAGAATGGGGTCACAGGAGCAGCCATCCTTCACCCAGAGCTTGGTCCTGACAGTCAGGGAAGCCGCTCTACACATGGCACTTGACCCTGCTGGCCAGGACAGGCAGTGATCGCCAGAGCTGGAACTGGGATTGCAGTGAGGCTGCCCCAGTAGGATAACCTCACCGTCGTCCCGGGCCCAGCTGTTATACACCCAGCAACCAGCCCCTCCACTCACCCTGTTCCTGCATGCAGAAGTGCCAAGGATGGGAATTCACTAGGAACCCCAACAGGCAGAACGAAATAAAAGCTGGGAGCACAGCCTGGCAACGTGCTGTGGCCCGTCAGATAGGGCCGCTGCTGTGGAGAATTCACCAAAGTAAAGTGGTGATCTAGGGGCTCTTAATTACAGCCAAGTCACTAATTTATTAGAGCAGAGCAGTGTTTCCCAAAGGGTGTTCCACAGAACCCTGGGGTTCCACAAAGTGAAAAGAATGGTTACTTACCTCATAACTGTGATTCTTCAAGATGTGTTGCTCATGTCCATTCCAATTAGGTGTGTGCGCGCAGTGTGCATGCATCGTCAGACATTTTTCCCTCAGCAGTACCCTTAGGGCCAGCGGGGAGCCCCCTGGAGTGGCGCTGGTATATCGGCCCATATATACCCCTGCTGGCCCCCTCACTCATTCAGTTCCTTCTTACCGGATACTCTGGAGAAAGGGCTGCGGGTGGAGATTTGGAATATACATGAGCAACACATCTCAAAGAATCACAGTTACGAGGTAAGTAACTGTTCTTTCTTCTTTGAGTGATTGTTCGTGTGCATTCCAGTTAGGTTACTCCAAAGCAGAACCTAAGGATGTTGACGCTACAGAGGAGCGGAGGACCATCCTGCCCAGGGCAGCGTCTCCCCTGGCTTGATGTGTTAGCGCATAGTGATTGGCAAAGGTATGGACAGAGGACCATGTTGCAGCTCTGCAGATGTCCAGGATGGGAACCTATGCAATGAAAGCAGTGGAAGCTGCCACAGCTCTCGTGGAGTGTGCTCTAAGGGGTGGAGCCCGTACCCCCACTAGGGCATAGCACTCATTGATACAGGCGGTTATCCAGGATAAGATCCACTAGGAAGACACAGGTTGACCCCCTCGCCCATTCGGTGATGGCCACAAAGAGTTGCGGTGACTTCCTGAATGGTTTTGTCCTGTCTACGTAAAAAGCTAATGCCGTGTGCACATCTAAAGTGTGTAAAGCCTGTTCTTTCCCAGACGCATGTGGCTTGGGGTAAAAGTCTGGCAGGAAAATATCCTGGGAGGTGAGGAAAGAAGCCACCACCTTGGGCAGAAAAGCAGGGTGGGGATGGAGCCTAATCTTGTCTTTGAAAAACACCGGGTAGAGGGGATCCAAGGTGAGCGCTCTGAGTTCGGATACCTGCCTAGCAGGTGTGAGTGACACCTTATAATACAGTAGAAGGGAACACGTTGCTAAAGGTTCGAACAGGGGTCCCATAAGTTTGGAAAGGACCAGGTTTAAGTCCCACTGGTGGACATGTAGATAGAGCCTGTCCAACCCTTTCAGAAACCTGTTGACCATTGGGTTAGCAAACAGAGTTCCTCCCCTCTCCCCCACAGGTGGAAGGCCGAAATGGCCGCCAAGTGAACCTTGATGGAGGAGGAAGAGAGATCCTGGATCCTGAGGTCTAACAGGTAATCCAGGATCAGGAGGATCACAGCTCACCATGGGTGTACTCCCTTCTGCGCAGCCCAGATACCGAACCGTTTCCACTTAGCCAGGTATGTGGTCCTAGTAGAGGGCTTCCTGCTACCCAGTAGGACTTCTTGGACCCGTTGTGATCACTAAAGTTCCTCGGCTGTTAGCCACGGAGCTTCCGCGCTGTCAAATGCAGCGAGTGCAGGTCCGGGTGGCAGAGCCTGCCCAAGTCCTGAGTAATCAGGTCCGGGAGCAGCGGGAGGGTCACGGGTCTCACATGGCAGGTTGAGGAGGGTTGAGAACCAGTGCTGCCTGGGCCAGGCTTGGGCGATTAAAATCAGAGACGCCCTGAACGCCCGCACCATGAGTAAAACCTTGTAGATTAGCGGGAATGTGGGAAGGCGTATAGTAGGCCCTGCGGCCAGAGGAGAAGGAGAGCATCTCCCAGTGAGCCCTCTCCCATGAGGAAGCAGAAATGGTGGTACTTCCTGTTCTGCCCTGTGGCAAAGAGGTCCAGATGGGGAGACCCCTAGGCACAGAAGATAAATTGGGCTACATCCCACCTCAAAGACCATTCGTGTCCTGCAAAGGACCTGCTCAGTTTGTCTGCCAGGACGTTTTGGGAGCCCAGCAGGCACGAGGCCGTTGGGTGGATATCCGCCCCAATGCAAAGTTCCCACAGGTGAATCGCCTGTTTATTATTATCCTTATTTATTTGTGGTCTACTTTTTCAGCTCCACATATTAGACTGTTATTAGGGGTTCCGCAAAATTCTTTTGCATTTAAAAGGGTTCTGTGGCCAAATAAAATTGGGAAACACTGGACTAGAGGTATGAACTACACTATTTGCCACTAGAATCAGAAAGACCTTACAAGGCAAGTATGCCAAAACATCAGATGACCAAAACTCTTGATACACACAATTATTTCAGAATGTAAGAAAATTGTAAAAGAAAGGGGAACAGGTTTTAATCACTAAACACCAATTTATCTGGAAACCCCAAATAAATTGCCTTGCCATCTTTCCTTTATAGTATTTTCCATCTTCTGAGCAAAATCATGATTCTTCCTCCCCAAACCCCAAAGTTTCCATGCATTTCTAAGGGAATCATGAAAGAGAAACACTAACATGCTGAACTGAAGCGCTGTTGCGAGTTTAAAGCTGCCTCCATACTAAGGCAGTGAACTAGGATCAGAGTCTAGTGCTGTGGCAGTCTAGCTGAAAAGTTATTAGAATTGTAATAATTCATAAATTTACTCCACTACTGTGAAAGAAACAGGCTAATCCAGCAGGGTTACCCAGACAAGTGGATGCCTACACATAACAAGCTCTGATAGTAGGTCCAGTTAGCCACTGTTTACTCCTTAATTTGAAAAGAATTGTATAACTTGTTCTATTTTTAAAAAGTAATTTCTTTCATGTCTCATTTCAGTTTCCTAGCCCTAGGAATTGTTTTATTATCTGTAAATTTCCATTAAATTTAATTAGTTCACTCTTCTCAAATATTTGAGAGTTTGACTGCAATGCTCTTAAAGTATGGGGCATGTCAACAATTTATTCTAGTACAATAGGATGGAATCCACTTTTACAATTTTACTTTTACTATTTTCCCCTGGTAAAATAAGAAAAAGATTCTGAGATTAAATGTTAGATTTCTCCTTTGAAACACTTACCAGTAACTACCATGCTGCTCATGTTAGAGTTCGGGCTATTGAGTACACTGCCTGAAAGAAGTTCGTCAGATCCTCTCTAAAAAGAAAGAGACAGTAAGAGATTTTTCTTCTATCTTTGCATCTTTAAAGTTGATATTAAAAATATCAGTTTGACAGGGCAAATCCCTTCAGAGAGCTTTAAATGAACATGACAGAACCTGTTAAGATTTTGCAGATTCTCCCCTTTGCAGAAAAGTGACAGTAAATAAAAAAACCTGAAATTTACAAATACCGTATATTTACAAAGCATCTCTGGATTCAAATAATTCTGTACACACAATCATTTCAGCCACAGCTGAAATGCAGCCTCCAAGGACAACACTGTTCGATAGTACACAACTTACGAAATATTTTAGAATAGGAAATTAATATTTATCCACTGAAATGACATGGAGAATTCAGGCAAATACTGAAATTAGAATTTGATCAAAATGCTAGTACTGATGCACCCATTAAACCTTGGTGTTTTGCATTTCTTTATAATCTATAAAGGAAGCTTGAAAACAAACTTTTTATGCTGGAAGATGGATTTCTTTTTGTTTAAACTCTAAAATATGAAGATCATCAAGTGTATTCTGTTAGTATTCTTTTGGAAGACTTGAATGTGGAATACAGCTAACAGAGGAGATGTGGTATTGAATCCTTAAAGTTGAATCCCTAAAATCCTTTTCCCAAAAATGTTGGAAGTTAAACAGGTAATAAAAATAAGTCTGAAGCAGTCAAAATACTTAAAAAATATAATTTCCCTCTCAGTGATCAGGTTCAATTTCCTTCCAAGATAGGAAATACACCCAGACGCCTAATGTAAAACAAATAGGATTTTTCTTGTTTATTTCTTAAAATCTTTCAGGCCTTCACAAATCAAAATGAATTACAAAGGACATAAACTTTCCTTTCTTAGCCTATTAATGATAATATGCAATGTCCAGAAGAGGTAAAGACCTCAGTTTAATGTCTTAATGCAAAAGTATTGCCAACAGCATCAATGCCCTCAGCACTAACCAGGGCAATCGGGTCATGATAAGAAGTGCCATTTATTATCCAATATTACCGTGCATGGAATCTTTTTCCATTCAGTATACTGACCACAAACTCCTTTTTACAAAAATCTTTATAATAATAAAAAACGTTTCAAACTTTGCCATCCTTGATGTTGGCAATATCTATCTCTGTTTGAATCACAATCCCAAGTAGTATGCTTGCAGGATGCATATCATCAAACCCCCTCTGTGATATTGGTGCAGTGGTCTCCAACCTTTTTACACTCAAGATCACTTTTTAAATCTCAGAGCAGGTGAAGATATACTGCCCCATCCCTTCCTTGAAGCCCCGCCCTTTCCTTGAAGCCCCGCCCTCTATTTTCCTCCTGTCTATCACCTGCTATCCCCAGCCCTTACTTACACACTCTGATAAACAGTTTATCTTTAAATTATGCGATACATAAAATTAAAATCACGTGTTTATAGTTATGAAATAAATGGTCTGTTTTTTATTCATGCTATTTAAATCTAAAATGAAGCATTTATAATTATACATTTTGTGGGGACAGAGTTCTGCGGCTGGGGGCAAGGGAAAGGGAACAGGTTGCTGGGGGGGGGGCAAGAGGACAGGGTTCTGCAGCAGGGGACAGAGTGCCAGTGGGGACAGGGTTTTGCAGCAGGGGACAGAATACCAGTGGGGACAGAGTTTGGGGAGTGGGGACAGAGTTCGGGGAATGGGGTCTTGTGGGCGGGGTGACAGTGTCAGCAGAGTCCCCTGTATCTGCCTCCTCCCAGGATTCTCCACCCCCCTGCAAGGGAAGCCAGCATGTGTCTCCTGTGGGCCCGACTCCCCTCCCCCCCGGCAGCGCAGGGAAACCCCGCGCGTGCCTGCGCCAGGGCCAAGCCCCCCATCCTGCGCCGGGGCCAAACCCCCACGGGAGCCTGCCCCGGGGCCAAGACCCCTCTCCCGCAGCACGGCCAACACCCGCGGGCGCCTGCCCTGGGGCCAAACCTCCCTCCCACGGCACGGCCTGGCCAAGCCAGCACCCTCCCTCCCACAGTGTGGCCAACCCCTGCGGGCACTTGCCCCTGGGCCCAACCCCCCTCCTCCATAACACCTGAGACAACACAATAAGCCATGCCAATCACTAAGATTATTCCTTTTTTGGAATTGGGTCTCAATGTTATTTATACAGAGTATTCCTAAATAATGTTAATACTATTTAACATACCACCCTTTTGTTGAGACTAGATTGTGTTCTACACGTTGGGATACAAACCAGCAAAATGATTTGACATATTTAATAAAAGAAAACAGCAATTACTCTTGCCACTGTCCGAGGAAATAATTTTTAATTAGATCAAAAGAATGAACTTAAAACTGATAAGACTGAAAGGCAATTCAGAAGAGTTATGGAAGCTTTCCATTGTTCCACTTTATATGACTGTTCTAAAGCATAAAAATGACTGAAACGTAGCATATAGAACTCACTGAAATGTTCTCTCCTCCCCTCCCCTCCCGGCCCGCTAACTGAAGATCTAAATTTCAACCCCAACATTTGCCAAGTAAGTAAATTTGAAAGTGACCATTTAAAACATATCTGCACTTCTGTGCAGGTGACGTGATTATAATAAGGTGTGTTTTTAGGTCACTAAAATTGGTTTCTGAATATAATTTGACAAAACAACAGCTACGTTGGTAAAATACTAACTCACAAGCAGATAAAAAAAATAGCAGAGACCTAACTACTTTGTAGACTGGGCACTTAGTTGTGATCTTGGATTTCCCTTAAAGAATGCAAGCTTTTCCCTTATTTTCCAAAATGGGGTATTTAATAGTTGATGATTATGCTCAGATCATTCTGAGTATGCACAGATCGCCCGAACCCGGCTCTTCCGGGTTGCAATCTACTCGCCACGGGCGAGCAGACTGCATTATTTGTCGAGCCCTTATGTAATGAAATACAAAACAGTTCATCCAATTAAACTCCTACAAATTTTCTTTTTCAGAACCATAACAAACAAAAAGGCAGGAAATTCTCTTCTTTTTTGTTGGAGAAAGTCCATCCAACAACCCTACTGAGATGGGTTTAATCTGATAAACCTAAGTACTTCACAACTAGAGAGATCCCACAAGGATCCAAGGCAGTTCTTCAAGTTCATGATGAGCTCCAGCAAATACTTCTAAATTAACACTGCAATTATTTGCCAGATCCTTTAATATATTTTTTTAGTGTTATATATTATCCTTATAGAATCGCAGAATACTAGCACTGGAAAGGACCTCAAAAGATTATCAAGTCACGGCGAAACCACACACTGTCTAGATCATCCCACACAGATGTCTATTCTAACTGCTCTTAAATATCTCCAGTGATGGAGATTCCACAACCTCCCTAGGGGCAATTTATTCCAGTGTTTAACCACCATGACAGTGAGGAAGTTTTTCCTGATGTCCAATCTAAACCTCCCTTGCTTCTTGTCCTATTATCAGAGGTCAAGGAGAACAATTTTCTCCCTCCTCCTTCTAATATCCTTTTAGATACTTGAAAACTGCTATCATGTGCCCTCTCAGTCTTCTCTTTTCCAAACTAAACAAGCCCAATTCTTTCACTCTTCTCTCATAGCTCATGTTTTCTAGGCCTTTACTCATGTTTGTTGCTCTTCTCTGGACCTTCTCCAATTTCTCTACATCTTTCTTAAAATATGGTGCCAAGAACTGGACACAATACTCCAACTGAGGCCTAATCAGTACTGAGGAAAGCAGAAGAACGACTTTTGGTGTCTTGCTCACAACACTCCTGTTAATGCACCCCAGAATCACACTTGCTTTTCTTTTGCAACAATGTCAACACTGTTGACTCGTATGTAGCTTGTGGTTCACTATGACCTCTAGATCCCTTTCTACGGTACTCCTTAAACAATCACTTCCCATTCTATATGTGTGAAATTGACTGTTCCTTCCTAAGTGGAGTACTTTGCATTTGTGCTTATTAAACTTAATTCTATTTATCTCAAACCATTTCTCTAATTTGTCTAAATCATTTTGAATTATGACCAGGGCTCAACAATTGAGGTAATCTACTCACCACGGGCGAGTAGATTATCGCCCGGCATGGCGCCGCAGCGTTCTGCACATGTACAGCACAGTGT